GGGGGCTGCAGGTGGTTTTTTTTTTCTGCTGGTGGTCACATAGTAAATACCTGGGTGGGAGGGTATGTGGTGAGGGGTCTTTGGTGCAGGGACCCTGCCCTGTTTGGTGAGTGCCTCAGCTTGGCCTCTGTGCCCCACTCGTGTTGTACAGGCATTGGCAGATGTTAACATGGGCAGTGTGCTTTCCCTGCCCTTCTGTGCCTTTCCCTTTGGGTTGGCACGTGTGGAAATACAGCTTTGAAATCAGATGGAAGGAGCAGGCTGCTTGTCAAAGGCAGGTGTAGGATTTCTGGGTGGTTTTTGTTGTTGTTGTTGTTGTTTTTCCCCCTGAGGATACTCTATTTGTGGTGTTTGCTGCTGCTGATTTTGAAATGAAAGCATCTCCCAAATCAGTCTATGAAGAAAGATAATCTATCTATGGTTGTTGCTTAATGCTTGTGCAGTCCTGAGCTCAGATGATGTGGTGATGGTCTGCAGCTGGTCTGATGGTGGTAGGAGAAACTCCTGTGTGCAGGGGCTGGCTGGTCCGGGGCCAGTGGCCAAAGGGACAGAGACGTGGGAGGGCAGCTGTGGAGCAATGCTGCAGTTAATTTAGCTGAGTCTTGCTCTTCTAAGAGGATTCACCTGTTCTGTCTTAAGGCCACCACACCACTGCTCCCCCCCTCTGCATTAGCCTAACGTGGAAGCTTGTGCTTGCTTGTTCCAGCTTTTTTCTTTCTCTGAAATACCTCCCTGTTGTTTTAACTGTAGAAAATTTCAGGGAGAGGGAGATAATTCAGCTGGTTGTGAAACTAGCCCTCCAAAATCCAAAGCTGCCACCATGAAAACAATAGATAAAAGGGACAGACGAGAGAGGAGGAAGGGCAAGCATATTTCCGAAAAGCTGTGCTGTTTTTGGCTCCAGCCAGCAGTTTGCATAGAAAGTAGTTTATTGTGAGTGAGAGCTGAGGATACCTGCCAGCTCTGTGGAGCCCTGTGCAGCAGTGCAGTATGCCAGGGACAGAGCTGTCCCCTTGACTGGGCCAGCCCCCAGCCTGTTGCTTTTGCTGCTCCATGAGCACCTTCCCTCTTGGCTGCCTTTCTGCCCCTCAGCATTGTCGGGCTGAGCCCTGCCCTGTGGTCAGTGAGTCTCTGTGCCTCTCCCAGCAGTGGGTTTGGGTGCTCTGGTCTCCCTTGGCTGGCTCGGGTGTGCTGCCCAGCTGTGCCAAGGCCCCCTGTGCTGTCTGTCCTGTGGGAGGGCAGGGGCACCCCCAGCTCCACGCCAGCCTGCTTTGTCCCCAGTGTGTCCCCCTGGGGGCAAACCTGATGTCTGCTTTGTCCCCAGTGTGTCCCCCTGGGGGCAAACCTGATGTCTGCTCCAAGGTCCTGATGCTCTTCTGGCTTGTTGGGGTTCCCGTGCCTTGATGCTGAAAATAAACGCGCTTGTGAGATGGGAGTGCAGTTGGGGCACGTGGGGATGTTGTATAGTGCTGTAGTGTTCTTCGTGCTGGGAAGCACACCCGGGATGTGTTTGGCTGTGTTTCTGCAGTGCTGAAAGTTGTAAACTCCAGCTAGAGCCATCTGGAGTAGCGTAAGGAGCTCCTGAGTTCCCACATGGAGATCTGGGTCACACACAGAGCGTTTTCAGGAGTTCTGAGCAATCCGATCGGTTCTTCTTTCCACTCTATTTCGTTTTCTTGATCGTAAGTGGAACAGATCAGCAATGTTGCTGGAGAGGCTGTTCTCACCAGACTGCCACCCCAGCTTGGCAGGGACAGGAGTTCCCAGCAAACACAGGCTCGTGTGCTCCCCGTCTCATGTAGAGAGATGCGGCCCCTGGAAACGCACCGTCCGCATTGTCTTATTGCTGTTACGAAACGCAGAGCAGGCACAAATACAGGGAAAAGTGACTCATGTTCTACTTGTCCATGGGAACATCTCTGTGAGGAAGCGCAAGTGAAGCTCTCCAGAACCCGGGTTCCGAGTGTGTAATGTAAAACTGGTGCTGGGTAATTGGAGTTGTGGAAAATACCTTGTGGCAACGTTCAGTGCTTAAAAAAAAAATAATTCATTCGCTTTGAAATAGGCTGTGGTGCAGCACTTTGGAAAAATTCTTTATTGTAGCAAAGTTTTAGAGGCTGTCACAGTATTTCAGTGCAAAGCTAGAACATTAAGTAGGAGAAGTGTTCAATCTGGCCTGCCCAAAATGGCAGTGTAGCTAATGCGGGGTGTTTAGCAGTCTTTACCTCTGCTGAGGAAATGAAAAAGTCTTTGTTGTGTTTCCCGTTCATGACACATAACAAGAGTCCCTGTGGTGTGGTGGTGGCCTGGGTTCCTGACAGCCCTGCTGTGGGATGCTACGGCCAAGGTGGTGTCCCTGGTACTCGTGCCTTGTGCCAGCACCTGAAGCAGGGAGAGATGCTGCCAGGCCAAATCCATGGTGCCTCATGTCCAGTGGGACAGGTGAGGTCCCTGCTGTATAGGCAGCCACGTGTGAGGGGTTAAACTGCAGAGAGTCAACTCCTCTTTGACTGAATCTGCCAAATTCCACACCAGTCCAGCTTTCTGAGTTGTTTTCTGGACGGGTGGGTGAGAGCACAGCTGGTGCCACAGGGCAGCCCTCGAGCTGCCTCCACCACACCACGGGGACTCTTGTTATGTGTCATGAAGTGTCCTTGTTAGCAAGGTTAAAATCTTGATGTGTCCCTGTCTTCACAGGGAAATCCTTGGAAGGCCAAACCTTTGAAAAAGCATCTCCTTTCATCTCTAACTTCTATTTTCTACCGCTCTGTTGAGCGAAATGTGTTTTAGAGCGGAGATACCTTAGGCAGGATTTTGGGGGCAGTGAGCTGCACGTCCTACCGAGGGACAGCTGGCTCTGCTCAAACCTGGAGGTACCAGAGGAGAGCTTTTGCTGGTGTAGGTCAGAGCTGTCCCATCGAGCTCGGCTGTGCACCAGTTCCGCTGCTCTTTATGCTGATTTTTGTCGATGCTGGATGTAGCCTTTATAAACACTTCTATTGCCAAATTAAGCTTTTCCCCTTCCAAAGTCACCTTAAGTGACTTTCTTCTTCTTTACCCCTTGCTCGGAAGAGTTTGCCATCCGAGACAAAATGGAGGGAGCAGGAGAGGTTCTGCCAGAGCCCCGGGGCCGTCGCAGTCCTTGTGTTCTCCCCTGTGCCGTTTCTCTGTGCAGTGACACTCCGTGAAGCATCAGCTGCTTGGAGAAGAGTTCCCCTGCTTTGAAAGCAGCTTGTATGTGGAACTGAAACTGCTTTGCTGAGATGACCAGAGTGTTTGTTGTTATGCGAGGTGCCTGGTGCTGCACTGTGGCTTGTGCTCCTTCTGGGAAACGCAGTCCACTTCCATCAACTTGATCTTACTGGTGCTTACAGACTAAACTGACAGCAAACTCCATTCCCTGACATTACTAGAGCATAGTAAGGACAAAGTGCTTGGAGCTTCAAATCGTGACATGTAGTTGACCAAGTTCAGTGGTTTTTTTGCTTAGAAAACAGGGGTGCTTCAGGCTGTGCATGCAGCTGTGGCTCTTCCACCAAACGTGCACCCAGATGACTCCTGTGTGTCGTGGGAGTGTTGGTCCCAGGCACTGCTGGTGGCCTGGGATGCGTATTTCCAGGTAGCCCCTTCCCAAGTGTTGCCTCCTCACTGGTAGTGTGACATGGAGCTGCCTGAGCAGACCGTGATCTGGGCAGGAGAGACAAGTCTCAGGTTGGCCACCTCTCTCCTCGGGATGTGCCAAGAAACCTAACAAAAGGGTTGGGACCCGCAGAGAACCTTTTCCTTTGTCCTTAATCACCCTCTGAGACATTGCCCCGAGATTTGAATCTCAGGTTTTGCTTTCAGTCTGTCTGCAAAGTGCTGGACAAAACCAGGAGTAGTTCAGAAGTCCTTGTGAGAAAGTCCGTGTTCTGCTTGGTGGGAAGGAGATGGGTGGGTGGGTGGAAATCCCACTCAAATGCTGTTTGTTATTAGAGGGGCTCAAGGTCTCTGTTGCTGATTTGGTGCCTGTGCCTGCTCAAAGTGGATGCCTCCTGGCTTAAAAAGAAAAAAAAAAAGAAGTATTTTTCTTCCTCCCTTGAATCTGAACTGGCATAGGATGCATGGAACTGACACATGAGCGTGTGTGTCCAAGGCTGACCAACTTTGTGCCAAGAGTACTGTGGAAATCAGCCAGCTGGTTTTGTTGACATTGCTAAAATAGAGCTTCACTCAGCAGCACCAGGGCAAAGCTGAAGGGGAGAGCAGAGCAAGGGGAGAGTCAGGAGAAGTGAGATGAAGCAATGCCCCTGGTGTTTGTGGATGTTTCTGGTGATGGGAGGCTGTGCTGGTGTGGACATTCACCAAGGAGCCTGCCTAGCTGTGTGTCAACCACGGTGTTGCTGGGGCCTCCTGCAGCACCAAATTGGCTGTAATCCTGAGCAGAAATGGCTTCAGTGTTGTGGAAGCATGTGCAAAAGTCAACTGGTCCCTGATTCAGTTTTGCTGGTCCCTAACAGCGGTGGAATGTGTGTGCAAGGAGTAAGTTGAGGTGTTGTGTGTGGTGTTTTGTGAGGTTTTTTTTGTTGTCATCTGATTTTGGTTTGCTTTTTAACCAAAACAGTGGCTAGTACTCCAGTTTTAAACTGATAGATGCTTACAGCTCTTGTGAAACCACAGATGCTCTTCTGGTACGAAGTGTTGAAGTTGTAGAGGAATGCATCTGGCTCCCAGGGAATGGGGAGCTGATGGCAGTGTCCCTTTCCAGTAGGGTTGGAAACTCCACTCTTTCAAAACCGAGGGATCCTGGGTTTTTTGAAATGCAAATGTTGTGGCTGCCTCAGGTGTTCAGGAACAGAGTCAGGAGTTGCCTTTCCTCATGTATCTGCTGCTCTTTTCCTCTAGGTTATGATGCCCTGGGCTATTCTGTGGAGGGCAGTGACAAGTGGAGTGGGAGACAGCTGCTGCAAGCACGAGAGCAGAACACGACTGCCATCCCTGGGGGCGGGGGACAGCCCTACGTCAGGAACTGCACTGAGCCAGGTAGGAATGGAAGGTGCCTCCAGCCCCTCGGTCCTGCACTTGGCTCCCTCACCTCCAGGCAGCTGTATTTGTAGCACCTGTACAGCCACGTTTACTGATTTTTCAAGTCCATAAACGCTGCTTTTCACAGCAGAGCTTGCATATCTTCAAGTTTTGGGGAGAGGAGGGAGGGGTTTTTCTCTGTTCTTTGGGACTTATGTAGGTTATGTGCCCCAAGAGAAATTCTAACACAGTTCTGGCTGCACTTCTCTGCTATAATTTTTCCTCTGCTGTAATCCTTAATAACGTTTCTGGACAGATGGATGATTATAGTCTTTTTTAAACAGCAAAAACTGGTACAAAAATTCTTCTTACTCAATTTTTGCCCGTTTGCATAACTCCAGTGTGGTGCAGATCCAGGCTTAGAGCCTCACATCAGCATCTGCAGTGATCTTTCCCCTGCTGTGCTCGGTACCTCAGTGCCTGCCTTCACCAAACCCAGGTCTGTAGGAAGCCTGTGGGATTTTATTTGTGGTGTGGGGTTTCTTCCCTGCCTTCTCCAGAAGGTACAACAATAATTACCGAGTACATCGTGTTTTCTTGGGAGAGAGAAAGCAGAAATACTGAGGCAAAATTACTGTTTCTTCTCTGGATTGTCATGGCATGACAACAGAATACAATTCTGTAACAGAAACTGATTCCAGTGCTGTGGAAAAGGAAGTGAAAGTACCAGAGTTTGGGTCCTGTGTGTTGCTTTGTGGCTTTTGTTTGGCCCATTACCGCAGTGTAAATGTGAATAGTTAATGTTGGGCTGGAGGGCAGTCAGAGGTGTTTGAGCTGGCTTGGGTGGGAGTGGGGCACTCCTGCAGTGTCTGTGGAGGTTACCTGTTGTGCCCAGTGGGCTGTAGGCCACCTGCAGAATGCATCAGCTCTGCTGCTCAGCAAACTGAAGTGAGCAACAGAGCTGGTAAGAGGAGGTTCTGTAAAGAGCATCCATAGGGCAGCTTGTTCCAAATGCCGTTTGTGCTGTCTGTGGTCATGTAGAGACCAAACTGAGAGAGCAAAGGGGTGTTGGTTGTGCTTTGGGAAGAATTTCGGAATCTTCCGTTTTCCCTGCAACTCGGAGTGATGGCAGGTTTCCAGCACAAAATGGGCCACCAGTCATGAGCCCATACAAGTCATCCCTCTGCTCCCTCCTAACAGTGAAACAGCCGTGGAGATGACACGGCACCTGACAGTGGAGCTGCTGAGCTCAGTCCAGTCTAAGGCAAGCTTGACCATCATCCCAGCAGGTGAGGATGAAGAGTTCAGCACAGTTCCTAACAGCAGCTTTCATGTTTAAAGGTGTGGACAGGAGTAGGGTGATTCAAATCCTTGTGCAGCCCTGACACCAGTAACTGTTGTTGTCAGGCAAAGCTGATTAAAGGCTTGATCCCACAGCCCCTAGGGCAGCACAGTCCTTCCCCCAGCTGTGCTGGTGCTGGGTGGGACCCCAGATAGTGTCACAGCAGTCGGGAAGCAGGGGGTTTCACCAAGCATGTCTGCCTTTACCTTCTCTAAGTGCTTGCCTATGCAGTGCTGCTGGAGGAAACGGGGCGGTTCGGCTCAAATTGTGCTGTTGTGGAGCATAACGCACGAGTGGTGCGTAACCAGAGCCTCAGGGCTCGTGGGACTGGGGAATCAGCAGAGCTTAAACCCCCTCAGCATCCCTGCAGGACCAGGCTGATGTGTGCTGGCACTCAGGTGCCCCTCCTTCCCTTCGGCAGGTGTCTGGGGGAAACGCTGCCTGGAAAGACTTGGGGTTTTTTCCTGCTCTCTTCCCAAATGACCCTGTGTAAACACCTACAACTGGGCAAAAGTGGGTGCTTTTAAAAAAGCAGTTTCACCTCGTTTGCTGGGGGAGGGAAATCAAATGCCTCATGTTGAAATGTTTTGTGTTTTTTTGCAGTGCTTGGCTTTTGTGCTCTGTTGGCAGTAAACACACCTTTAGGTGCTGAAGGGAAGATCTCTGTTCTCTAGCTGCACGGGTGTTTGCAGGCTCATTTGAGTGCCTGCCAGGACATTTGCCAACTGCTATTTTTATTTTCTAATGGTTTATCCTGGGGCCTGTCTAGTAGCATTTTATCATCAGAACTGCCCCAGATAGTGAGGGTTTTGCTCATTTTTCATGCGAAACAAAAATGGTAGAAATATTAAGGGGGTGAAATGGATGGACTGAATCCAACCTGAAGCCCTTTTTTTGTATTTTTATTTTATTTAGTCCTTTTACTGAGAAATGAATGCTCTTTGTGGGGTCTGACCTGGTCCTGTGGCTGGCTTTGGTTGTGTTGAGTGCCTGTGGAAGCAGAACAGAGCAGCCTGCTTTCTTTTCTGAAGAGCCTCTGGTCTCTTGTCTCTGGATTCCTGATTGCCCAGCCCTGCTGTCATACCTGCTTGTCCTCTCCCTCTTGGATCCTGGTGGCTCCTCATGGCAGTGTCTGACAGTGCTGTCACGCAGCAGATGCTCTTCTGGCCTCCCTACTGTCCCCTTGTCCTCATGGTATCCATGTGGAGGTGTGTGGAACTAGAGATGGACAAAATGTTGGACAGTTTATTTACAGAAGCAGTGATATTGTTAAACGCTCGTGATTTTTGGGCTAGGTTTTAGCTCATGCAAAAGATTATGAGGAAAAAGGGAGAATTACTCGTGTTGTTTCAGGCAAAGTATCATTTACCCACCTGGTCCTGTTCAGAAATGTGACTCACCTGCTGGAAGCCAACAGAAAGGATTGAGCTTTGGGTCAGGTCCCCGTGCTACCAAATTCAAATTCAAGATTGCCCTGGAGAAACTCTGAAGGTTGCTGTTCATTCAGACTCGGTTTATTTGCTGTCAGGAAGGTGACAAGCTCCTGGGCTCTGTCAGGATGGGACATGATGTGTCTAGAAATTCCCGTGGGAGGTCCCGGTGCCAGCCCTCATTAGCTCCTCTCCAGACTGGCATATGCTTCCCCTGACGAGCTGTCAGCACCATCCTCCCCCGGTGTTATCACTTCCACTCCCACCTCGGAAAGGCTCAAAATAAAGCAGCAGCCCTGCTTAAGTGTGCTGTTTTAAAGTCATTATCAGTAATAGCAGGAAATACGTGATTGCTGCAGGAACGAAAAGATCTCGGTATATTCATTTAGAGCCCCAGGCACAAAAGTGTTTAAATTAAACAGCCAAAGAAGTTTTTATGCAATTATTTTTTACATTTCCTCATCTGATTTCAAAAGCAGCTTTCTCTTTTATCAATATTTCTCCAGTGACTCATAGCTTATGATAATGTAATTTGTGGTGCTTGGCTGTGGAGCAGGTAACCCTTCCAGGCTGCTCGCTGGTGCCTGTGGCCCTTTCTTTGGTGCTGAACCACAAACCCAAACCCCCTCGGGTGAAGCTGTGCTTTCTCATCTCTTTCCTCTTACACATTCACTCCTCTCTTTGCACAGTGACAGCTTTAGGTGGTCTGAGTTCTCCCGGGTTGTCCTGCCCAGAACGATGTCCAGAGAGCTCCTGATGTTTCTGTGGGTTGTGTGTGGTCTCTTGGTGGACTGTCAGATAAAGCTGCTCAGGAGGTTGTGGCAGTGGCAGGAGGGTCTAGCAGGTCCCAGAGTTGTAGCACAGTCTGAGGTGGGCTTGTGAGCCAGAAACAGGGTGTGTTAAGTGGAGAACTCGAGCGTGGAAGACACAGAAATGGAACGTGGGTGAGATGTGCTCGTGATTTTAGTGGAGCCTTGATATCTGGGTGTGGAGGGTAATGGTGACTACTCCATCACTACAGACTTCTCAGCCTTTGTACCTGGAGGTGCAGTGCCAGGCTTTCCTGTCTGAGCATCCTTCTGCTTTTTGCCTCTGTAGGATGCAAGGAGCCTGGGGTTTGCTTTAGCAGGATGGGCTTCTGGATGGGAAATGGGAAGACATAGAAAAAAAAAATTCATCTGTAGTTCGTGTGAAAAGGTGCTGGAAGTAGCAGTGGGCAGAGGGAGTGAGATTTCTCTTGCTCACCACTGTGGAGTTTCAGAAGGCCTTCTTCAGAAGCATATATAGTATGCTGTGTGAAGAGTGATTTTTGTTTCTTTTTTTTTTTTTTTCCTTCTCTGAACCTAAATCCAATTAAAAAAAGTCACCTTCCCTCGAGCAAAATTAATTTTATCCTAGCAAAATGAAAAGCAAAAATTAGTTTCTGCCTCGCAAGTTGCCAAACCTTGCTTTCACTCATGGGAATGTTAGAAAAATAAATTGTTGTTAGTTTAGATACAAAATGTCCTCAAGGAATAGAAAAAAAAGATGTTGTTCTCTCCCTGAACCATAAGTTGGGTGAATTTGACAGAAATTGATTTGAACTTCTGCTCCCACGCTCTGCTTCTGTTTGTTTGTCAACTCCAGACCTAAAGTGTCAGCAAACTGTGATGTTGGGGTTAGAACCTCAGAAATAAAAACATGCTTATTTCGTCTGGGTTGGTGTGCTGGCACGGAGCTGGGTTGTCTCTTCCTGCAGCCTGGAAGGAGGGATGTCCTCTGGATGGGAGCAGGTGCTGGGGTTTGGTGGCATGTGGCACCAGCCAGTGGGTTTGGCTGGGCCGGCTGCCCCGACAGCTGCATCTCTGGCTGAGGGGACTGGGAAAGGCAGCCCTTGGGTTTGGGGTTCTTCTTGCAGAGCCTGCTGGCTTCGTTCCTTGGAAATGCTGCAGATGATTTTCCTTTTCTGTGCTGCATTCTGGATTCGCTCAGGGCTTGGGATTTGCTTTCTGGACTGGGTTTTGCAGGATCTTTGGGACTGGTGCATTGCAGGATCTCTTGGCAATAAGAGGTGGTCCCAAGTACTTTCTTTAGGACTTTTCAGCCATCTAAGGGGGCAACAACCCACGTATGGCTAGTTGTGTTGCAGTACAGGTGAGCAGGTACCTGAGCACCTCCCTGTGAGGCAGAACCTGCTGTGTTCTGACAGCAGGGCTTTACCTGGACAATGTGCCAAAGGGGGAGCTCAGAACAACTGCTTTTGGCTG